CTTTTTTTTTTTTTTTTTTTTTTTTTAGTACCAGGAATTGAACTTGGGACCTTTGCGCTTATGAGGCAAGCAGTGGAACCACTGAGCTAAATCCCCTAAATTTCCTGCTTATCTTGAGATGGGCTCTCACTGCATTGCCTAGAAAAGCCACCCCAGGAGCTGGGGTTACAGGGGAGCCCCACTGTGCTGGGCCCAGTGACTGCCATTTGTTTGTGACTGGGTCTCCCTATGTAGTTCAGGCTGGCCTCAAATTTGTGCCATCCTCCTCCCCAGTCTCCCTGGTGCTGAGATGACAGGTGTGAGCTACCACACCTGATTCATGTCTAAAATGTCAATGGTAGAAAACAGTAATAAATAAATCCTTTGGGACTTTTCCCAAAAAACTGTCGAGTCAGCTGGGCATGGTGGTGCACACCTGTAATCCCAGCACTCAGGAGGCTGAGGCAGGAGGATCGCTGTGAGTTCGAGACCAGCCTGGGCTACACAGTGAGTTCCAGGTCAGTCTCAACTACCTAGTGAGACCCTGTCTCAAAAACAAAACAAACTCTCCAGTTATTAATACATAAACAAGCACAGGAAAGCTGTACTTACCTGTTCAAGGGGAATCACGAAATCATTTTCAGCAAAAATGAACAGCGTGGGGTTCTTTAAATCATAAACGTCTTCGGAATCCTTGACAATGCCTGAAAAGTGCGTTTCGGGGTCACACCCAAAAGGTGCTATCAGTACAGGCCGTGGGCATGGGTGGTCATAAAGACAGGCCGTCAGCAGATTGCAAGGTAACAACAGTGGAGGAAAATACCACAGCGCAGCAAGCTAAGTTCCCTCCTCTCCCGGAGAAAGGGAGCCCGGGAAGACGGCCTTGCGCCCCCTCTGGCACGCGTGCTGGGTGCCTTGCCCGGGGACAGGGCACCCGGCCGGGTCAATCCTGAGCTCCGCAGCATGCACTGCGCGATCGGAGCCAGCAGGTGGCGCCAATACGGCGCCAGCCCAAGACCGCCGGCTCCACAACCGCGGGGCGGGGCGGGGCCAACGACCCAGATTTACGGAGTTTATTTGCTGCTGTGTAAATATTTAAGTTTTTAACGCTAAAAGTAGGCGAAAGTACCACTGAGAGAAATAATTAAGCTAAATAAGCATCATGGTACTGCACATAATTTAAAAATTAAAAACGGGGTAGATGGTAAAAAGACAAGGATGACATCTGTAAAGGCACTTTACTGGAGATTGCAGTTATGGTTAGCATTAATTTTGGTACGTGTTGCCTTAAAACACTGAATTTGAAATAAATACTAAAGGCTATGTGAGCACACTGCAATCATAAATAAGCACAATACGTGCTTTGTAATATAAAAGCTTTATGAACTGGGCGTGGTGGTGCACACCTGTAATCCCAGCACTCGGGAGGCTGAGGCAGAAGGATTGCCTTGAGTTAAAGGCCAGCGCGGGCTACACAGTGGGTTCAAGGTCAGCCTGCACTACACAGCGAGAAACCACCTCAACCCACCACACACACACAAAAAAAAAAGCTTCATGAAATATCAGCATAAGAGCTTCGCGATATCCCAGAATACCCCGTGTGACGTTTCTATAGCAGAGAATCTCCTTGTGCGCGTCCCTGGGGTTTGCCTGTCCCTCCTCTCCCCTCCCCTCTCTTTTTCCTTCCCTTCCACGCGCGGTGCAGCCTTCTGGCGGGGGTGGGGGAGGCGCGTTTGCATAGCTGTGGACGTAAAGGAGAAAGGAGGTGGGGAGGGGCCGCCTGCGCGCCTGCTGAGGATGGGGAGATGGAGGCCCTGAGCTGGGCCCCGCCCCTGCACTCACCGTAGACGGACACCCCCGCCCTGATCTGCCGGTACTTGGTCATCACGTGGTGCACCACGATGCCGCCCCAGCAGAAGCCCACGATGCCCACCTTCTGGGCCCCACACTGCTGTGTCAGGTACCGCAGCACAGCGTCCACCTCCCTACCACGGAAAGAAGGGGCGCTCAAGAATCCAGGGGGCCGTGGTGAGCCCCAAAAGGGCAGTTAGACAATAGTCCCAGCACTCAAGACGCTGAGGCAGGGGGCATCGCCATGAGTTCAAGGCCCACATGGGGTACATAGCATAGCAAGACCCTGTCTCAAAAAATCAAAAAATAAGAAAGTCACAATTAACCCTATAACATTCTCTTAAGCATAACACATCTGTGTGCATTTAAATAAATACATCATGCCACTATGTGCAAGCAGTTATTTTCATAACATTACAGCAGTGATTAACTCAAGCATGGTGCACACACTTGAATCCCAGCACTCTGTCAGACTGAGGCAGGAGGATCACAAGTTCAAACCCAGCCTGGGCAACTTAGCAACTCAGTGAAATCCTGCCTGTCTCAAATAAATTGTAAAAGGTCTGGGAATGGAGCTGTTATGGCTTGCATGTGGATGTTTCCCCAAAGCCTCATGAACTCATGGGTGGGGATTTGGGGAGGTGGCTGGATCATGAGTGTGTGGTACTGCATTAGTCCGCTGGCTGGAATAGTATAGTTCTGCTGTGGCCCCATGGATCTACTGAAGGCAGAAGCCCCTCCCCCACCCTTCAGTGGCACCACCCACAGGCCTGTAGCCCTGATGGAATTAAAGGCAAGGTGAGCCGGCTGCTGGCTGCTGCCTGCTGCTGCCTCCGCCTGCCTGCCATGGACTGTTTCTCCTCCGTGATGCCCCTCTGGTATGCCACCAGCTGACTGTGGACTGAAACTGAGCTAAAATGAACCTTTCCTCCTTTAAGCTATGGGTGTCTGGCATTTTGTCTCAGTAACAAAGAAACAGCTCAGTGCAAAAGTCCTGAGTTCAATCCTCAGTGCCACCAAAAAAAGAAACATAGTGATTAAATCTCTATAATGTCATGAACAATAGTTTTGGCCATTTTGATTTTGAATTTTCTTGGCTGTGGGGAATAACTGCTTTATTTGGGAGGGCCGAGAAGGAAGATGACATTTCTATAAAAATTCTCGGACTTGAGGGACAACAGGTTGCATCTGTGCTCATGTCTGCTCCCCGTTTTCTGGGGACACCAGACTCCAGCCCTGGATGACCCTCCCAAGCCACCAAATCTGGGAGGGCTTCATCCTTGGCTGCTGGAGTGAAGTGTGTGGCTCAGGCCTGGCCAATCAAGGCAGATCAATCTCCTGACCACGGGGATTGACTCCAGGAGGGGCTTCTGAACCAATCAGAATCAAGGAGATAAAAATGAGACCTGCTTGGTTGTGAGGAGAGAGCTAATGGAAGGCAGGAGCCCCTGCAGCCACCTTGCCACCTGGAAGTGATTGACAGATTTGGCCTGAGAATGAAGCCAGCACACAGAAAGTGGAGCCAAGTGAGGCTGGAGACTGAGTCCATGCACCAAGACTTCTTTGAAGCTAAAAGCCGCCTCTTCTGTTCCACAAACCAGTAGCTCTCTGGACAAGGTAAGCATCCAGGAGAGGTCCCTGTCACTGGCAGACACCCTACTGCTCCTCCTGATTCATTCAGCCTTGCTGCAGGACCCCCACCGGGGCCAGGCAAAGACCCGACTCGTGGATGGAGAGATGGTGGAGGGCAAGTGTCCCTGCGGGCAGCCCCACCCCTCCTGTGGCTACAGCGTACTTGTCCACCTTCCTGGCATCTCTGGACTTAAACCACTCAGGGAAGGTTTTCATGTCCGCAGAGGGGCTCCACGGCTCTTTCCCCACGAAGAAGTCTGGGACGATGGTTCTAGAAAGCAAGGGGAGAACAGACTTTCAATTCTGGCTAGGCGCGTTTGTGTGCATTTGTTTAATGAATCAGTAGGGTGGCAAACCGGGTCCCGGAGCAGGGGACACAGCAGCTCTGGGCCATGGCTGCCCCAGCAAGCATGTGGCCAGAGGGCAGGTGGCACAGGTACAGGTGTCCGGCCTCCAGTGTGAGCAGGCAAGAGCCCGACGGGGCTGGGGGTGCAGGCCAGGGCCGTGAGACGCTCCAGCGTGGGACACATGGTCCACGAGAGGCCCCACTTGACTGAGAGCCCCACGCCTGTCCAACCTCCGGCCAGTCACCATGACCCAGCAATTTCCCAGCCCTGCCCAGCTACTGCGGGAACCAGAGGGCAAGGTCCACGGCAGGTTCCGGCCATGGCCAAGACAGCCGGCACGGGGAGCCGGTGTCATCCTCCCCAGGGCCAGCCTGTGGCCTGGTAACAGATACGCTCAGGCCAAGTCCGGTTCCTACAGCACAGAGCTTCTGCCCGAGCCCTGGCCAGGACAGGCAAGTCCCAGGCTGGCCAAGGTGCGCTAACGTGGCACATGGTCACTTTTAGGCATTTTTTTTTTTCTTTGGCAGTGCTGGGGATCAAACCCAGGACTGTGATTGAAAAGTACGATAAATGCTTGTTTTAAAATATGCACTGGAGTAAAAGGCACATTGCTGTGAACCCCCTCACTGAGAACAGGCCTACCCCATCGTCCTTGCCACTTCGGAGGCAGTGTCGCACTACTGCGGCTCCCTCCGTGTCCTGAATCCGCTCAGCACTGACCTGTTGTGGCCATTCTGCCTGTGAGGAAGAGCCACGCGGGACAGATCCAGGGAGGCAGTGCGTGAGGACCCCGCGGCGGGGTATACGAGCCTGCCTTTCTGTCCAGTGGCGCCCGGCAACAGCACTCACTGTGTTTGCGATCACCCTCGGTGACCCAAAGAGGACCAGGAGCTGCTTCAGGAAGTGGCAAGACCGATGGGACCAGCGTGTTGGAAGCGAGCAGGGGCGCTGAGAGGGATTCGCCAAACCGAGTCTCTTCCGGTCATTTTGTTTCATGGAAACAGTGTGGCTTGGTCACAGCCGGTGCGTCCCACCCCGCCTCACGCTCAGGGCTGGGCAAATAGCACCCTGCAGGGTCATGGCGAGGATGACGGGGTGAGTGTAACAGCAAGTCCCTGACGTGTGTAAGGACACGGGGAGGGAAGAGCTGGCTGCCAGGTGACCGGGGCCGCCCTGCAGTGGAGTAAGCCCCGGAGTGAGCCCCGGAGTGAGTGAGGCCCGGAGGGAGCCCCGGAGTGAGCCCCGGAGTGAGCCCCGGAGTGAGTGAGGCCCGGAGGGAACCCCGGAGTGAGCCCCGGAGTGAGCCCCGGTGTGAGTGAGGCCCGGAGGGAGCTCCGGAGTGAGCTCCGGTGTGAGCCCCAGCTTCCTAGGCCACGAGGAGGCGGCGTCCAGGGGCTGCTGGGAGCCCCGCGGCCGGGTCCCCATCTGCACTGCAGCGCAGCCACAGGCACTGGGGTTGGCCAGCGGCTCATTGCTGGGCGTGCACTGAAAGCTAAATCCCTGGTCCCTGAAGGGATCTGGGGACGGGAAATGCGGGAAAGGCATCTTTCCACCAGCCCCACACCGAGTGTGCCGGAGGCAGAGGGTGGAAGCCCCTCCCTGGGCTTCTCTTCACAGGAGAAGGGGCAGGCGCACCCTCAGGCCTCCCTGATCTCCTTTTGAAAAAAAAACAAAGGAAACCAGTGAACAGCTGCCCCGGGGACCGGGCTCCACTTCCAGAGGATGGAGAGGAAGAAGGCTCGGTCCACCCTCTGCCTTACTGCAGCTCTAACCCCAGGGGCCCACGGGAAGCCATGGCCACCTGCCCGGGCCATGACCACAGGCCTCCCTGCGATTCCCCGACCGTCTAACTGCGGCAGGCCACCGCCCGTATTGCCTGGCGGACCAAAGGCAGGGGACCCCGAGTGGAGCCAGGTCAGCACCACGAGTCTGCTCAGTTCCCTGTACAGGAGTAGAGCCCTGCACAGGGAGAGGAACCGGTGTCCCCCGGGAGGATCGAAGGCCTGAGATCAGGAGGGGTAGGTGTGGCTCCTCACCCCAGTCCCGTCACCTTCCACGGGGAGGTAAGGAAGGAGCCGGTGCAGACGAGAGTACGGCCAGGTTGGTCTGTCTGTCTGTCTGTCTTTCTGAATAGCACAGTCAAGGTTTTGGGTTGTTTCTTTGTGAAAGAAACCCCAGAAACGCACACGAATTTAGGCAGAGAGCGTTCGTACGTACGTGTATCCATTTCCTGCGATGAGGTCAGCCATGTACCTGGTGTTGGGCAGCTCCCAGCCAAATATGTCCTGCACGACGATGACGGCCTTGCCCGTGTCGGCAGGGGGCCTGGTGACATAAGCCCTGATGTGCTCCACCTGCACCTCGCGGCCCATCCCGCCGTACTCCAGCCTGTGGCCAATGTCGCACGGGCAAGGGCTCGCCTCATTGGCCATCGGAGATCCTGAAGTTGGCCGGGCTGGAAGAGAGGAACACAGGTCATTGGGAAGGCCGCAGGCCTGCGGGTCACGGAGCTGGTACACTGTGGGCAGACTCCTGGAAAAGGGTTCATTTCAACCCCATCTGTGGCACTTATGAGATGAAAAATTGATATTTCCGGTTCTGGAAGCGTCAAAGATTAAAGCCAGTGAGGATCTGTTCCTATCCCTAACACCGGACACGCACATTGAATGTAGCCAATGAAGAAGAATAGAAATGGTAGTGGTAGCTCTCACAGGAAAAGGGACACACACAACCCAGCCCCGCCAAGGAGCAGCCAGACGAGGAGAGGACCAGAGACACTGATGCCCCAGTGTGGGGACACTTCTCACAGCGGTGCTTGGGGTCTTGAGTCCAGGGAGGCCCTGGGACAGCGTTGGCCAGAGACTGGCGAGGAGGCCACCTCTGCCTGGTGAGCTCCCAAAAGTCCACTCTGGGGCTGGGGGCAAAACGAGGAGAGCTGCGTCACCCAGCTAAGAAGACCCCAGAAGTTCCCCTCACCCCAAATCCTGAGTGAGACGGAAAAAGAAGCGGGTGTCAAGTTTACACCCCCAAAGGAGAACCCCTAGGCTGAGAAATTAGCCTAACAAGTGACCCTGGGCCAAGGAACCCCTGTAACAACAGACTCCACACTCCGGCCGCCTGGAAGGTCACCGGCCCAGTTTTGAAAACCACATGGTCGAGCAAACATACAACGCCTAGAAAGCAGAGGTGAGAGTGGCTCTGACTCGAGGGCAGGCCTGCAAAAGCTCCTTCAAAGCAGAAAGCAGGAAGAAAATAATTGAAATGTGTTAACTACAACGCATGAAACCTCCCAGGGAAATACTGAAATAAACTCAGGTAGATGTAAAGTGGTCACACTCACTCATGGAGACCGATTCTCAAATTAGACTGTTTATAAAACTCGGGATCTATCTAAGCGGGCAGGGCACAGCTGTGAATGTGCACACAAAAGGAGTAAATCCCAAACAGTAACAGGAAGATGCATCTTGAGGCCCTAGAACACAGGGACAATCCAAATCCAAAACTAATAGAAGGAAAGAAAGAATAAAGTCAGAGCAGAAATTAATGAAATTGAGATTAAAATAAGAAAACAGAGCAGCAGTGAACCAAAGGACTGGTCATGTGAAAGGGCTCAGAGTAGGGAGACTTGGAGGGAGGAGAGGGGCAAAGAAAGTAAAAGTGATTAAGATGCGACCACGTATGCACCAAATCCCCATGTGAATGTTGTTTACTGCGCATCACAAACATGTACAAATACAAAAAAATGAGGGCTGAGGATTTAGCTCAGTGATACAAAAAAAAAAAGAAAAATTGTAAAAAGTGACGTTTAGGTTCATTCCCTCAAAAGATACAGATGGGTCCCTTCATTAACAAGTAGCAAGTACAGGCCTCCAAGCTGATGTAAAGAGCTACCGACGAATACTGTGATGTTTTATATCCGGATGTCTCTCCAAAGCCTCATGTGCTCATAGCAGGGCTTTTGAAAGGTGACTGGGTTATGGGGACTCATAACTGGCTTGCTGTTAGGAGATGAAGCCGTTTGGAAGAGTTGCGTCACGGGGGTGTACCCTGGAAGGGTTTATTTCCCTTCTCCTGTCTTTTCTCTTCCTGCTCCCACTGCCCTGCCTTGGACTGTTGCTCCTCTGCGATGCCCCCTGCCCGGCCACCCTCCCTAGGAGCCAACCTACTACAAAGTAAAACCTCGACAAACTGTTAGCTAAATCAATCTCTCCTTTAACTTGTGGGTTTTGGTATTGTGTCCCACCCATAAGGAAAATAACTAAGGCACTAACCCACAATGCAAATTTCAATGATAATTTTGTTTTTGTTTCTGTTTTTTCGTGTTTGTGGTGCTGAGCATTGAGCTCAAGGCGTCACACATGCTAAGCAAGCACCGTACCCCTGAGCTACAACCCAGCCCCTAAGAAAGACTTTATATAAAATATGTTCTATAAGTACAATAAAATTATAAATAAAAACTCAAAAGATTTAGAACTGAATCACAATGAAAAAAATCTATAGCAAAGTTGATATAATCAATGCACTAGAATGTGGAGAAGTCTTTACACCCAGATTGCATATTGTAGGCAAGAAGAATGGAAATAAGCTAAGCACCAAGAAGTTAGAAGGATGCCAAGCGTGGTGGTGCACACCTGTAATCTCAGCACTTGGAAGGTCAGGCAGGAGGATTGCCACAAGTTCAAGGGCAGCCTGAACTGCATACTGTCTCAAAAAAACAAAAACACACAAACAAAACAAGAAGTTGGAGGGGAAATAAACAGGATAAACCCTGTCTGAGTCCATTCCGGCTGCTGTAGTGAAACAACATAAGCTGAACAGCTCGTAAACAGCAGATAGTCATTTCTCTCAATCTAGAGGCTGAGCAAATCCACAGGCTGAGCCACTCTGGGTCCAGGAGGTGCCCTCCTCCTGCCTCCTCGCCTAGGGAAGAACCAGACAGTGCCTGAGTCTTTCCTGCGGACACTGGTCCCAGGCTAACAGCTCTGCTCTCAGGACCTCTCACCTCTGTGAGTCAGGGCCATTGCAAACCCAAAGAGGAAAATAGAAGGAAGCGACAATAAACAGTAGGGGAAAAATCCCAAGAGATTAAAATCTGATTCCTTGAAGAGTTATAAAATAGGCACACCTCTGGGAAAACTGGAAACAAAGATTAACACACACAAGAGCAAAACAATCTGAGAATGAAAAGGTCACATAAAGATGCTGGCTGAGGCAGGAGGATTGTTCTGAATTCAAAGCCAGCTGGGCTACGCAGTGAGTTCAAAGCCAGCCTGAATGTCATAGGGAGACCCTGGCTCACACACACACACACACACACACACACACACACACACACACACAAAATACATTTTTTTCTATGTAAGGGACTAAGGTATAGGCCAGTGTCAGAGCACATGGCTGGCATTTAGGAGGTCCTGGGTTCAATCCCCAGCCTGTAAAACAAAAACAGAAACTCTAAATACCATGAGACATTAGTATGAACAACTAACTGTATGCCAGTAAGTTTGAAAACTTACAAAATTCACAAATTGGTAAAACAGCAGGACTGTTTCTCAACTGGTCTATGTGCCTAACTTCAAAATTCAATGTAAGAGGGGGCCGGGGGTGTAGCTCAATGGCACGGCGTCTACCTTACAAGTACAAGGTCCTGAGTTCGAGCCCCGGTGCTGGAAAAAAATTCAACGTAAAAAGGGAAAAGGTAGCGAGATAAGTTTAAATGAAAAGAAACTAAAGAGAAGTAAACCCAGTGACACGGAGTGCACTTTATCGGGTCCTGGTTCAGGATGAAGAGCCGATACGCTACACCTGAGAGACACCAGGGCTGTGGACACCATGACAGCTGCTGTCACACCTCCATACGAGTTGGACAGCGGGCGAGGATGCGGCAGGCGGTCCTGGTCCTGTCCAGACGTGCGCTCAAGTCCTGGGAGCCGATGGGCCGAGACAGCCGCAGCTTATTCTCGAGTGGCTCATGAAAGTACAGGAGCACGACACAGAGGCTCAGGAACGGCCAGTGACCACAGACTCAAAGCAGAGCGGCGGTGTCAGTGCGCGTGTGCGCACGGTTCCTCCCACGTCCCGAACTTCCGCATTCTCCACAGCAGAAAGCTGGAGCTGAGGACCTGACCGGCAAACTATTCCCCAATCCAAACGGCTACATAAAAATCAGGGACAGACTATAACAAATAAAATACGGCTACATCTGGGGCATGAAAACTGAACCAGGCTAAGGCAGGAAGGAGAACACTGTGTGACTCCCTTCCTCAGGAACGTAGGGACAAGAGTGCAAGGCGAGGTGTGGACACGGGGAGTCTTGCACGCAGTGTGAGGGGACCTGATGCCATGATATCGGGAATGAGGAGATGGCTGTTAGACACTGGTGATGTGGTCACAGCGTTGGGAGACAACCTGGCGAATCCGCATCGCCATAGCAACAGGCGAAGAAAAGGCCTAGGATAAAACGCAGCAGCTGTAGTGGCTGAGCACCCACATTCCTTCAAAACCCACACGTGTAATCCCAGCACTCGGGAGGCTGAGGCAGGAAGATCGCTGTGAATCCAAAACCAGCCTGGGCTACACAGTGAGTTCCAGGTCAGTCTCAACTACATAGTGAGACCCTGTCTCAAAAAACCAAACCAAACCAAAAACCGGCCTGAGGTGCCGCAGCTTATTCTCGAGTGGCTCATGAAAGTACAGGAGCACGACACAGAGGCTCAGGAACGGCCAGTGACCACAGACTCAAAGCAGAGCGGCGGTGTCAGTGCGCGTGTGCGCACGGTTCCTCCCACGTCCCGAACTTCCGCATTCTCCACAGCAGAAAGCTGGAGCTGAGGACCTGACCGGCAAACTATTCCCCAATCCAAACGGCTACATAAAAATCAGGGACAGACTATAACAAATAAAATACGGCTACATCTGGGGCATGAAAACTGAACCAGGCTAAGGCAGGAAGGAGAACACTGTGTGACTCCCTTCCTCAGGAACGTAGGGACAAGAGTGCAAGGCGAGGTGTGGACACGGGGAGTCTTGCACGCAGTGTGAGGGGACCTGATGCCATGATATCGGGAATGAGGAGATGGCTGTTAGACACTGGTGATGTGGTCACAGCGTTGGGAGACAACCTGGCGAATCCGCATCGCCATAGCAACAGGCGAAGAAAAGGCCTAGGATAAAACGCAGCAGCTGTAGTGGCTGAGCACCCACATTCCTTCAAAACCCACACGTGTAATCCCAGCACTCGGGAGGCTGAGGCAGGAAGATCGCTGTGAATCCAAAACCAGCCTGGGCTACACAGTGAGTTCCAGGTCAGTCTCAACTACATAGTGAGACCCTGTCTCAAAAAACCAAACCAAACCAAAAACTACGGCCTGAGGGACAACTTCGTGACAAACACCGTGGAGGCTCTGGGGCAGAAATCCCTGGCCGCGGACCTGCGGATGGGGTGGGCACAAGACC